TTTGAACCCTACTTGAATATGAACCCACAGTCACGTTTTCTGATGGCGAATTTTCGCGGTGGAATGTGTAAGCTCAACGGTCATGACTATTGGCGCCAGGAGGATGACCCTGGAAGACTCTGCTCTATTTGCTCATTAAATGAGGTGGAAGATGAATACCATTTTCTTCTCATATGCCCAGCATATGACTTTATTCGTAAAAACCTAGCCAACTATTTCTGGCAACATCCCAGTCGGCAGACGTTCGCCTCGCTAATCTCCTCCAGCAATGAAAATACACAGAAAATGCTTGTCTATTATCTAAGTCAAGCTTTTTTCCTAAGAAACGATTCCTCTTCAGCAAACACCCCATAAACACTTCCTTCAAATGTTTTCTTCATTTGTTTCCTTTACTGTGTATGCAATGCTTATTGCCGCACAATAAATGTCTATGTCATGTCGAACTTTTGAACAGAGAATGAGACCAGGTAGGATCGGTGAACAGCGGTCATTCTTTTAAAAAATATATATGAACGGAAGAATAGCTAGTTTCCCTAAGACGAAAGTCCAGTGTTAAAAAAATCCTGACGTGGCACGACTTATACAGACGCAACTCCCCTTCTCTCCTAGCCGCCAGCATGAATCGAAGAAGCTTGAACTCTCCCTTCCTATCCCCGGAAAGCGAGGTGCAGCGTTCTCCCCGTGAGCTAAGGCCGATTTCGGCGACCTGCATCCTTATTACCACAAATGGCATCGAAAGCTGAACTAGCCTGCGTCTATTCTGCGCTCATCCTCTGCGATGACGATGTTGCCGTTACCGTAAGTCCTCCCTTTTGGCCAAAGTAGGCCTGGGATAACGTCTGGGCAATTGAATGACAGGTCGAACATTAGGCCTTTCACGCCACAAGTAGGCTAGGTCTTGCTCCAGGAGTGTGCCATGTCTAAACCTGCACTGATTTACAAGTGCTGTTATGAAATTATTTGTAAGACCGCGAGGTTTTTCCTGTGCAACCGATTGTAGTGGAAATGAAGAAGACAGTTCTCGTACTGAATTTGCACCCTCTCCTCATTCTGGGTTACTGGAGAAAGGAGAAAGCACTACTTGAAGATGCATATGTATTCAGATAATGATAATAAAGTGATCCTTTTCAATACTTGAAAACGATGGGAGTATGTGGATTCGGGAACAGTATACAACTTTACACCCTAGAGAATGCCCATTTTCGTTGGAACAGTTAGTGCTATTGCTTTTATTCACTGAGTAACGTAATCACTTTGGGGCTTGGTACTCTGACTTTCCCTTTTTGAAGAAGTTCAGTGTCAGCCTTAGGCCTTTTCTGTGAATTCCTGCTTGAATCATTGTATATTGTGTAGTTTCTGTACACCTTTCATGGAGTTGGTGGTTATCGGTGGCTGACTGAAGTCTCTCATTGCTTATGACCCCCAACTGAACATTCACTGCCAGGGTTTGCATTTATGCAGAAATGTGTATCCTATATGTCCAAAATTCCAAAGGGATGCACAACAGAGAAACATTGAGGTCCCAGGGACATGCATGAAATTTAGATAAATAGTTATTTGATATTTAGATAAATAGATTTTCTGACTGGTTTTCAGACCATTTACCTCTTAGAACCATACCTAAATAAACCCATGGAGAACCTTATAAATGACAAGAAGGGGGAGCTGGGAGAAGTCCTTGCCAAGGAAGGTGTGTGACGTGAAAGTGATGAGAGTGGTGCATGTTGCATTTTGTTCATGCGCTCATTATGCATTTCCATTCATTTCAATTAAGACTTTAGGGCAGTCTGGGCCAACACTCTTCTCATTTAGTTACAAACAGAAAATGTACGATGTTAGTTCATTAGAATCGCTCGTTGGCATACATTCAGGTGTTCCTGAATGTGGGCCTTGTGCCACATAAAGAAAGGTATCAACAGCGTAGGTCGAAAATCTAAATGAAGGTGATGTCATCGTTTCACTTAGGGCATACAGAGAAGGGAAAATCACTGTAGGCCTTGACATAGTCAAATTGAAGGGAATGAGATGGATGTGGGCAATGATGAAAATGGGCAGCTTGTGAACCATGAATCACAATGAAGGAAAAAAAGATTTAAAGAATGGAAAAAGGTGTGGGACAACATTTATTCCTTGCTTTCCTATAGAAATGGAAGAGCTTCCTGTGATTTCTGCTCAAATGCAAATAAGAAAAATCCCTACTCAGTATCTGGCAGTCGTAATATGCAGAAGTTTGTCGTTTGCAAATTTGAAGATGCCCTAGGGATATTTGTCAAAGAGAAAATGTTGGATGTAGTCCTAAGACTGCTGGATTGAATATCATGCTTTTGGAAATGTTAAATCAAAGAAAAAACAACTTAGCAAGATTTCATCATGCTTCAATTGTGATAGGACCTCCCAAATTTTTCTGAGTGACCCTTTCTTATAAGATGTAATCCCTGGGGACCCTTAAGGCAAGAAAATTAGCACAAACCCTGCCTGCAGTACAATCTGTCACTGAATTCCTCTCTCCTCTTGGGGTAGAGATTCTAGTTGCCTTAGCTGGACTTGACCATGTATCCTGTCATGGGCCTAAATGTCCCTGGCAGGAGTTATTTTGAGGTCTTCCACCGTCTATCCAAGGAAACCTCTCTGTGATATGTAATTTGTGGTTTAGATTATTATATTAACCTTCAAAGGCATCCATCTTTTCATTTGTGAAATTATTTGAGTGGAGTTCAATTTAAAAGTACCATAACATTTGCACCATTTACCAAGAAAATTCATGTTACTAATTTTGGAACCTAAAATATCATTTCCATTTATTGGTTGAAATTTCATCTAGGGTGTGGAATCCTTTTCAGGGGGTTTTCCTAGTGGAAACATGACCATGACACTCCTGGATTCCATATACTGGCTTTACAATTTGTACTCACCTCTGGGGCAAGGCGAATGAGAGCAATGGATATATTAATATGGATAAACTAGCACCTGACCCATTTAGTGCCAAGCCTTCCTTGAATTCCAGTGCTTGAGGAAAAAAAATCCCAAAGTGTACTGCATAGAGATGCATTTCTTTGTTTATTTACTCAGATATTCTGAGGTTATGGATTATAGTTTATTTGCATAAAGTATTTTTTTAAATACCTTTTTTCAAGATTTCAATTTCAATTTTGAAGCACAATTGAATGAAATTCATTCCAACTCAAATGCTGTTATATTGGTGGAGTAGTAACTTTTCCTTCACAACACATGTTCATAGTCATATATACATTTTTGCACTTACACTACTAATAAAAGCAAATTTATAAACTTGCACAAAATTAACTCATTGCCTCAGGGTTAAAATAAAACAAAGTACTAGGGGTGCAACTAGTGGCAAAAAGTGACTAGTGTTTCTCTATCTGAAGGCTGCTGCCATTTAACGACCAGAATCCTGACTACGTGATGAACCCTAAAGAAAAGCTGTGGGCGGAAAATCGACCTATGACATTTTAAACAATTTTACACGTGGCACTTACACGGGTTAATTTTTCATAGCGGCGTATGCACGCTGTTTTGCACAATAAGTGTTGCAAATGCATCACCCAAAACAGGTCTTTACAACCAGGAGCAGCCATGTAACTCACCCCGCCCAGACTACTGCGTCTGCTAGCATGGCCAGAGCCTTCGTAGGCATGCGTACTATAGTAGGTATCAGGCTGGTCCACTTGAGCTTTCCTGAGTCACGTTGTGCAAGTCAAGTTTTCTTATGCACTTCCGCCCAGTCATTCTAGTGACACCTGCCTGCTCACTGGCAAGGGTCTTAGACCTCGATGATTTTATTTCCGGTTTGGTGTCAAAGGCCAAAGAGAAAAATAATAACACGACACTTCTAACTTCAACTGCTCCATCGTTTGCCAAAATAGGTTGACTGTCTCACTTCTATGACCCAACTTAGAAGGAATGCGGCTCACTAGGTCTGTGTTTATCGTTTCTTTGAGATTAGTTTGAGTTTGTGTATATTGAAAAGCTGTTGAAATGTTGGGTATGTTAGTGTGAGCCTCCAACTTCGAAGTGATTACATTATCTAGTGGGAGAATACGTGAGAGCAATGTCACTAACCGTTACAATGAAAACGGGCGCTCTCAGCCTCTTAAACATGGCTGCCCCCGTCTCCTGTATTCTTCTTGGTGAATAATGTAAATACTTGAAGACCCTAAACATTACTTTTTCAGCCCAAGTACTTCCATATCTCTTGCATTAATGGCCTCAGGGAACCATTTAAGACCCATCCTAGATGGCTCTGTAAACATCTGAGAGTGAGGACTAATTGTAAAGGTGGTCCCCTGACCTGACATTAGGTATGACAATATCCCTAGGGGTATGCACTTAACTGTGACTACTGACAAGGGGGCTAGTTAAAAGTTAGTCTGTTGACCAACTGACTGATGGCTTACTAATTGCTTGAGATAGACAAATGTTGGATTTTACTGATTTCAGTATTGGCCAACATATGAAGCAGATAGCTGATACGATATTTGCTGACATTTCAGCGTTAATAAAACCATATTGAAGATCCAGCAGGACAGCTTGACTTTATTTCAAATTCTCCTTGATGAACTCACAATGAAGTTAGGCTGCAATACATAGGCCAAACCCAAGACCAAGAATATAAGCTGACCAAAAGACAAGCGATTCCTCGCCTCTCGGATGATGCCATGTTGGCTATATCATGCATCACAGGGTTTCTATATGTGCATGACAAAGAAAGTCTTAGTTATATTTTCTTTCATTATAGGTTGAACAGAACTCTACTCTTTTGGCGAAAATCAGAAGGTTTGAAAGAGCCAATGAGAATACTTGCCAATGTTGGCATATTGACAACTGATATATATTAGTCAATCTCTACTTATTTGAATAAATGTAAGTTAGGACTAACATCCTTGACTTTATGCATATTTATTGCCTTGGATAGTCTAGGCTGACATAACTTGACATGAACTCACCATGCCTATTATGATGTATGGTTTTCTATGTTACAGGCTGAGAAGATGGCTACCATCCTGAAGGCAGCCAATGTTACTATAGAACCCTATTGGCCTGGTGAGCTGCTTACTCATGCTAAAACAAACTAATCTTAGGCCTAGGCAGCAATACTAGCTGGAATTGTACATGATTCAGTAATCCATACATGATTTATTCATTTGGTATGGCAGTGTAGGAAATATATATATTTTTCTCATGATCCTGAGGCAAAAATTGGAATTTCCTGGGAAGGATATGCAAGTGGACTGAACAGGCCACCTGCATGTGCATCTCTGTTCCAGCGAACCTCATTCACAAAGGTTTTCCTAGCCTCGGGATAGGGTGCCATTTCATATGCAAGAGTCACTGGTTTTTTTTTCACATTGATGCAACACCATATTACAGGGTAGCATAAAAAATTTAAGTGAAATTTGATTTTCTTCTTTCCATTTTAGGTGATTACATCTGAACTGAAATGTCTCAGTATTAAGTGTAGGAGCAAGTATGGATAGTGGAGCACTATTTCTATTATGGTGCTGGTCAGATTGATTGACCTTTGGAAATTGTGAAAGGAGGTTTTTAGGAACATTTATAAAACTCCACCTGATAGATTAATCCTGTTTGTTATAATGTTTTGTGAATCTGGATTGACTTGCAATAAGAATGCAGGCAAATCAGGCTGAGAATACGTTGTTTGTACAGGTAATACTAGGAGGGTTCAGGGTAAAGTGCTGCAATTGCCACATAAAAGCAAACATTGAATGTCCAAGGAACTGCTAATTTCTCAAGGAGTGTTATTTGTATGGTTAGAGACCAGCATAATTGTTGGAAATAGTGCTTATTATCCATACATGCTCTTGCATTGAATACTGAGGCATTTTGGTTTAGTTATGATCACTTAGTGAAAATGAAGTAAATTTAATTCCACTTAAGCTTTTAGACCACCTTTTATTTGTATTTAGGATTTGCATATATATTTGTTACTTTCTGTTGATTTGGATTATCGTAAGTTAGAGATAGAGAAGTCATTGCTCAAGGAAAGAAAAATACAGACAAGATACTCGGACCAAAGCACAGTGTGATCTCCTTGCATAACTCAACTTTACAAGGGACTTTCAAAAAGTTTTTACCTGAGGCACTTTAAGTTGTAATATACCATTCATATTTTTTTTTCATAGATGTCTTTGATGATGAATGAAAAATTTTCGACACATTTGTCGATGATAGAAAGCTTCTATGCATTTTTTTCTGTGTGCTACCAAGGATTATGCTGAAGGGATATTAAAACTGAAACAAATGCTGTGATTTTCTAACCTTGAAGGAGTCTGTTTCTCAGCAAATTTTTTGTCAGCTGAGAGGATACTGTATTATTGACTTTGCTCAGCAAGAGCCAAAAAGGAAAATTATTCCTTCAAGGTTAGAAAATTCATAACAGCATTCTTTTCAATTTTAATACCCCTTCAGCAGACTCCTTGGTAGCACATTGAAAAAAATTCATAGAAGCTTTCCATCATAGACAAATAAGTTGAAAATTTTCCATTCATCATCAAAGACATCTGTCATTCTATGAAAAAAAATATGAATGGTGTATTACAACTTAAAGTGCCTCAAGTATTTTTGAATGCCCCTTGTATATCATGTTACTTCCTTCTGCTACAAGCAAGTTTGCTTCCCATCAAGATACCTCATATCTATTCTCTCATGTCAGTGACCTATTCTCTTTGACGTAAAACAGCTTTACTGCAATCCAGTTCATGTAACAGCAGGACTCATTCTCCAACACCATTTACCTGTAAACAAAGGGTTGTTTAAAATGTCATATGCAAACCTTTGAAGATAGCAGTTACAAGTGAAAATATCAGTGGAATAATCTAGAAACAGTGAATGGTCAGAGCCCAAGAACATACTCAACACAAGTTCAAATATGTATTAGGTCATTAGGTATGAAATGTCCGATTTTTTGGTTACTTAACAAGTGATCACGATTGTGAATGCAGAAATTCTTAAAATTATATCAGAGGTATACAGAGTTAGAAGAGGTAAGAGGTGCTTAAGAATACGTCATTTTCAGTTAATTCTATTGTACCGTTATTTTGTTTTTGTAGGGTGCTTCAAAATGGTTTCTTCACAAGAAATTTGTGTTCTTTTTTATACGAGTATAAATTTAACCATAGTGCATCGCAGGCAGCAAGAAACATTAATGCTGCTTTTGGAGAAGGAAATGCTAACGAACTGACTATTTGCAGGTGGTATGAAAAATTCAGCAAAGGTGATGAAAGTCTTCAAAATGAGCCCAGGGGAAGACCACAAAAACTCATAGATGACGATGAATCGAGAGTTGTAGTGGAGGCTGACCCAACGAAAACCATAAGGTGTCTTGCAGAGGAGTTAGGGGTGTCCACTTACACAATAAGTCAGCAACTTGCTTCAATTGGAAAGGTGAAAAAGTTGGATAAGTTGGTTCCTCATGAATTGTCTGATCAACAAAAACTTCACCGATTTGATTTCTTCACTCCTCATGAGGAACTCAAACGATCCATTTTTGAAACAAATCGTCACTTGTGATGAAAAATGGATCTTGTACAATAGATTGAGTTCCTCACAAGGAGTGAAGAACTCATCTCAAATCTGTGAAGTTTTTGTTGATCAGACAATTCATGAGGAACCAACTTATCCAACTTTTTCACCTTTCCAATTGAAGCAAGTTGCTGACTTATTGTGTAAGTGGACACCCCTAACTCCTCTACAAGACACCTTATGGTTTTCGTTGGGTCAGCCTCCACTACAACTCTCGATTCGTCGTCATCTATGAGTTTTTGCGGTCTTCCCCTGGGCTCATTTTGAAGACTTTCATCACCTTTGCTGAATTTTTCATACCACCTGCAAATAGTCAGTTCGTTAGCATTTCCTTCTCCAAAAGCAGCATTAATGTTTCTTGCTGCCTGTGATGCACTATGGTTAAATTTATACTCGTATAAAAAAGAACACAAATTTCTTGTGAAGAAACCATTTTGAAGCACCCTACAAAAACAAAATAACGGTACAATAGAATTAACTGAAAATGACGTATTCTTAAGCACCTCTTACCTCTTCTAACTCTGTATACCTCTGATATAATTTTAAGAATTTCTGTATTCACAATCATGATCACTTGTTAAGTAACCAAAAATCGGACATTTCATACCTAACGACCTAATACTCAGGCAAGCAGCAAAAGGATTAATTTTATCTTGGGTTTCTCAAGTTCATCAAGTCATTCATTTCACATTAGACATGATAATAACACATCTTGTGCAGGTCTTGTTCACAATCATTTACTAGGATATGGATAAATTGGTAAGCCAAAAGAAACAGCATTCATACATCTTGAACATACCAGGTGGTACAAAATAACATCCTGGTGAGGGTTTACAAAACAAACCACCTATAGAAATGCTATATTTGTCTATTTTTTGTATAATAGAAAACATTCTTTTTTAAGTTTTGAAATCTCTAGGTCAGTTGGATAAGAACCAACAGTCATTGCAATTTTTAATTTTTTCAATTTGTGCGATTCAATGGTGCTCCATAGATGTGTCCCATTGTCACCAAATAGCCCTCCTATTGTGGCTGTATTTATATTGCAATTTTCTTGACTATAATGTCATGTATCGTCCATAGGAAAAGCCATATAGTTAAAGGGTGTTTTTAACTAGCATTCTCCTACCCCTCAAAGAAAAAATTTGACTCATTTGCTAGATAAGTAGGTTACTAGTCCATACTTTGATGGAATATATCAGAAGAACTCACTCAAAAAAATTGGATGTCTCTCAGCAACTGTCTTTCAGATGAATGTGTTCGACTCATCAATGTATTCTGTATTTGAACATATTTTTAATGGAATTGGTTCCAACATACTGTAGTAAACTAAGTTCTGGATATTTTTGAGGAGAGGTTGTTTAGCAAACTGCCTTTGATGAGTCAGAATGCTTGTTGAAAGAAGGACTGGAGAAGAAAAAGACTTCATGGAACGAGAGTCCATGATCTCATAGGAACCCTCAACATTCTCTTCCCTTTCCAGTCCTTACTCTTAACACCCCACCAACAGAGATAAATACTTTGAGCAGTGCTGAGACTGCATCTGCTACATGTAAAAAATGTTAAATTTTATGGCTTCACTTTGTCATTCTTCATCCAGATGACCAAAGCACTTGAACTTGGAATTTCAGGAAACATATTTTGTAGTGCTTTGCAATGCCATTTAAAAAATTTCAAGCCAAGAATTTTTTCAGTCTGTTTCATTACACGTCTGAACACCCACCCATTGTGAGTAGTCAAGAGCCAGAGTTTTGTCTGAATAAATATATTTTCTAACCTGGAAATTTGCCTTGCCTAAACAATTATTCTTTATTTCTTTGGTTGGAATTTGGTTAGGTGGGCTAACTTGCATGCATGTAAGTTTAAAATAAAAACATTGGATTATGATTCTTTTTTTTAGGGCAGTGGTTCTCAACCATCCTTTTACTCCCATTGAATCTTCATGCATTCGGGGGGTGACACCTCCCAGGTTGAGAACCACTGTTTTAGTACATCTGAACCCCTCACACTACCCACTACTAGCTACACTTATGGACACATGGTTTAGTTTCTGTCTGAATAATGCTATGCATTTGCCTACCTTAGTTTACAAACCTATTTGATAGTTCTTCTGGCTAATTTTTTGGATCTGATGTTACTAGTTTCCAAGGGTATAATGAGATATGTGTTTCAAGTCACACATTTTGTCTTATTAGGCCTGTTTGCAAAATGCTTGGAGGGATTGAACATCAAGGACATGATTTCACATGTTGGTGTTGGAGGAGGTGGAGGTGCTCCTGCAGCTGCAGCTCCAGCTGCTGCTGCTGGTGGTGGTGGCGCACCTGCAGGTGGTGCTGCTCCAGCAGGTGAGTTGTTAACTGGTCCCACTAACTTGTATAAAGACTACTAGAAACTCAGCTCTTACTGTCTCCTGTTTATTTCATTTTCAGCTGCTGCAGAAGCCAAGAAGGAAGAGGCAAAGGATGAATCTGAGTCTGATGAAGACATGGGATTCGGTGAGTCTTTTGCATGGGCACCAAGAACTTCAAATTAAATTTACTTTTAAAAAAAATATTTTTTCCCATCCTCTCTCTCTCAAGCATATTTTAATAGAGGAAGAATTGTACTTATATATTCTTATCAAACTTTTTATTTCAGGTCTCTTTGACTAAGAGGAGGAGCAAGAGAAGACCCAGCTTTTACATTGTACCTGTTTGGGGACTGGATTTGGAAATAAAGGCTTTCCTCCTGAACATGTGTGCTTCCTTAAAACTCAATAGTCATGTTTGTGAATTTTGGAAATAAAAGTCTAAATATTAAATATGATGAGCCTCTTCACCAGGACATGTCCTGGTCCTGTAGCCTGTAAAGGGGACTGTTACACAGGGAATGAAGATGTCTATTGCATTGAAATGAGGTGAATATCTTTCATATATTTGTATTGTTATATTGGCATTTGCAGTTGTCTCAAATTCTGTTTTGCAGTTATTCCTGTAACTGGATCACTAGAATAGGAGCTGTCCTTAGGGGTTGAGGTGAGTATCTCACTACTCATTTGACATTCCCAATTTTCTTTTCATTGCTCCTGTAATTTATAATAGTTTCATGCTTTGGTTGTGTCTTTCCACCTTACCTTAAAGTAGACCCTGATTGCAAGTGTAATGCCTGCGAGCGTTGCACAAGGGTGATGTATTTGTTGAGTGAAGAGTAACTCCATCCAGTTTAAAACCCCTTTAAGTAGTTTCTTCAACATCAGATGATGGACCTAAGGGGCTCTTTATCTAAAAATATGTAATTCAGGATGTTTGAATGGATATGATGGCAGAGTGATGATTTGATGACGAAATTGAAGTGAGCGCTAGAGGAATGGAGTTCTTCTGTTCCTCGCTTGCTTGCACATCATGATAGAAACTGAGGCATTTGTCTGACTGCCTAGCTATCCCTCCAGAAAATTGAATTGGAGCCTCCTTGGATATTTGTAATCTTATCCTGTGCTTTTTCTCTCTTTTCAGTTGGTGCCTTTTTCTGAATCCTTTCCTTCTCTTGATGGAAATCTTTCAATTAAGTTCTTGAAGTGAGGAAAGAGAACAAAAACCATCTCAACTCATACCTGGTTAGTGCTGGGTATCCCTTTATTATCTAAATAGGTTTTTACTTACTGATGCTCACAATTGCAGCTGTATTCTCTGTTAGAGATGTTTGAATGGATATGATGGCAGAGTGATGATTTGATGACGAAATTGAAGTGAGCGCTAGAGGAATGGAGTTCTTCTGTTCCTCGCTTGCTTGCACATCATGATAGAAACTGAGGCATTTGTCTGACTGCCTAGCTATCCCTCCAGAAAATTGAATTGGAGCCTCCTTGGATATTTGTAATCTTATCCTGTGCTTTTTCTCTCTTTCCTGTTGGTGCCTTTTTCTGAATCCTTTCCTTCTCTTGATGGAAATCTTTCAATTAAGTTCTTGAAGTGAGGAAAGAACAAAAACCATCTCAACTCATACCTGGTTAGCGCTGGGTATCCCTTTATTATCTAAATAGGTTTTTACTTACTGATGCTCACAGTTGCAGCTGTATTCTCTGTTAGAGATAAAGTAAGATAACCAAATAATTAAGAGTGTATTGAACATCACTGAGGCACACAACACTGGTGCCTCTTGGGCCTTTTGATTTCTGGAATGCAAGCAAAAACAAAAATGGAGCTAGGCCCCATATAAATCTTTAGAAACACAAGGCTAAAGCAAAGCATTTTTTAAATGAAGTAAATGTTTGTTGAATAACTTTGGACCGACTTCAACAGATTGCCTGGTGACATTGTTCTGTGGGCCTGAACAACTCCCAAGTCCAACATGAGGGACACATGGAAAACTGCTACTGTCAAGGACAAATATGAAAGCAAGTTTGAGAGTATTCGATTGATGTGCCTGGTGAGCTCTCGTCCCAAACACAAGGACTTATGCCCTTAGCCTTAAGTGAGCTAGAGTTATGGCATGGAAGCCATGTTGATCATTTGTTTCAGGATGCTTTTCCTCAGGCAGTTAAAGATGACAAGGGGATCCCAACCATTGAGAAGATTCTTTCTACAGACAAACCTGAGTGAGTGATGCATTATGTTCCTCACAGTACATGTGCCATACTGGTAGTGTTAGCCTTTTCATATTCATTTTTTTATAGCAATCAAAATTTAGTTTTGACTTCTTTTTTTTACTGTTTTCTTATTCTGTATCAGTTATCAGTCATTTAGCTATACCTGAACAGGTAAGTCTCATTCCTTGCATATGGACTGGAAAGGATACCATTTCATCTCAATGGGGTTCTTTCTGGCTTGAGCACATATGCAGATGACCCAATCCTCTTGCATTTCAAGTCAAGAAATCTTGAATTGCTGCAGAAATTGCTTTCTTGCTTTCATGTACATAAAGTTCCTACAACTTCAATCCTGAATAAAAATTTAATTAAAAGACTTAGTTAAACTGTTTTATACCATCATAAAGTCCATCGCTTAAAGTTTTTATGATGTGCATTTTTATATTTATTAATTTTCCTGAGTGGTGGATTGAGTGGAGTCCAATTCTGTGACTCACGATTGCCAGACGTTTCCCCATGGATTTTTTCCTATGGGGTTTTGTGAAAGACAGGGTGTACCATACAAAAGTGAACAGTATTGAGGACTTGAAGAACAGAATTTAGGCTGTTATTGGCACTGTAGATGTTGAAATGTTAAACTGAACCTGGAGAGAAATTGAATATTGACTTGACATTTTGTGTGCAACAAGAGGCACCCATGTACAGTTGCACTAATTTTACTGTATTTATTGCAAATGAAAATTTGATAGATGGACTTTATGCTGCAATAAACCATTTAACTGAGTCATTTTGGTAGTTTTTTATTTAGGTTTAAAACTGTGAAGGAACATTATGGACACCATGTATTATATTTAGTAAGTGGTTAAAAGCATGCGAAGCAAAGAATCGTAAATGTCTGAGTTTGACCTCCCAGTTCTCTTTCTGATGTAGCCAGCCTTTTTCTTTGTTTATTTCTGCAACTATGTGGTAGACCTTTGGTGACTCAAACTATGGTCAATGAATAGCCTAAAAGAATTGGAGCATTTATTTTAGAGCAGTGTTTTTCCTAATGTTCTCTTCCTGTGTCCTTATAGCAATTTTCAGCATTTTATTTGTGAATAAAATTTGGGTGCCTTTTATTTGTTCATTGGCTGTCATAGAAACTTCATTCTTACTGCCTTACTTTCATAAAGTAGTTGCATGTTGAAAAAGGTGTGGGTTTATTTCCAGGGATGGGGTTGATCCATTTGAGGAAACACGTCGATCAGCTCTAGATCAGGCATTGCGGGAGTATCTCCTCAGACTTCTAACAAAGAGTGAAGATGAGATCAAGGAAATAGTGTCATGGAGCATTGATCTGGGAAAGCAGGGTCTTTGCACTGCTTCCATGCCCTCTGTGCTCCTCTCCGATGCCCTTGAAATGCTCCCAATTGACCAGTGTGAATCACTCTTTTCCATCTTGGAAGAGAAAGTGGAAGTGTGGAAGCTAGAGCCATTCTTCAGTGCCTGCAAGAACAATCTCCTCAGACTCTGCAATGGTATGTCTATCATCACAAGCTCTTGAACTCCTTCCCTCCAATTATGAACTTCATTGAGCACTTTGGGTCTGGCCATACTTTGTTAATACATACAATCATTGCTGTGCCATTAATAATAATGCATGAATTGATTATTTCTGGTGTTTGGCAGAAAACAAGCGGGTATTCCATTTCCAAAGCGATGGAGTATCCTAGTTGCCCTCAGATTAGGCATTTTCTCACATTCTGGTTGATGTTTCAATCCACTGTATATGAAAGCTGTGAACTCCATTTAATAACTTTTCTTACTCAACAGGTATCACAAGACTTCTATGTTAGAGGGTGAAAATGTACTCATTATGTTCCAGATTTATTGCGCCGACTGTCAAAGAGCCAGAACACTGTCTTCTGTGGTCGCATCCTCCTCTTTCTGGCAAAATTCTTCCCCTTCAGTGAACGATCAGGTTGGCTTACCCCAGAAATTCTACATATAAGCTTAGATTTCTGTCTAGTTTAGAATCTGAACTCATGATGGAAGCTCCTGTGTATTTTCTTCATTTGCCAGGTTTGAACATTATTGGGGAGTTCAATTTGGAAAATTTGACTGCTTATGGAGATGATTCAAGAGATGATGGGGAACTGGTTGCCATGGAAACCAATGGAGAAGCACATGAAGACACAAAGCCTCAGTAAGGAGTAGGATGGGATGGCAGTGATGCATAGTATGCTGCTCATGTAGTGCCAGTCCATAAATGGTGTGGCTTCCTCTGTGTGCCTTGTAGGAATGTGGTGAGTTTTAATCTATACTGCAAGTTTTGGGCGCTTCAAGATTTCTTCCGGAACCCAGCTCAATGTTACAACAGGCTCCCTTGGAAGAAGTTTGTCCAGGTGAGTCCCATCTGATTCCAGTAGAGTTCAGATAATGATAGTGAAGATTGTCAATAGACATTCACTAGGGATTCTGAACATGTTTCAGCACACTAACGAGGTTCTTGAAGCACTGGGAAGCATGCGATTGGATGTGCAGCATTTCCGCCACACATCTGATGCTCCTCAGAACTATTTCCCCAAATACTTGACCAATGGGAAGTTGTTGGATCTGCAGCTAAATGATGGGAAGTTCCGCCGCTATGTGCTTGTCCAGTTCATCATCATCTTTCACTATCTTCAGAGTCCTGTGAAGTTCAAGAAGTGAGCCTGATTCCTGAACTTTATTTTACCCTATAAAACCCTATAAATTATTTCAAATTAGTTCATAGTTGATTTATTGAGAGAGATATGTGTTGCAGTGAAAAGCAGCTGCTGACAGATGAGCAGGTTGAGTGGGTGAAGCAGACAACAGAGAAGATATACAAGCTCATTGCAGAAACCCCTCCAGAAGGTGAAAAGTTCCTTCAGTCTGTCAAGCACTTCATCAAGGTGGGCAACAGGTGTTTTTTGTGATAGTTAAGAATTTGGAATATTTTCAAAAGCTGGAAGGACTTGAGCACTGCTTGGGATGGATTTTTATTTATTTTGTATTTTTTAGAGAGAGGATTTGTGGAATTCATGGAAGAATGATGGCTGCCCTAAGCTTCAGCCTCCAACTGCAAAGGTTTCTGAGAGTGATCAAAAAAAGACTACAAATGCAGATGCAAGCAATTTGTCTCCAGGAAAGGAACACAAACGTCTCAAGCGACCAAGGCGACCCCTTGGTGATCAGATCAAAGATGCTGTTGCCCGAAAAAAATTCAACCTTGGCAAGTGAGAACACGTGTCATATGTTTAGAGCTTTCATTTCTTCTTTCTCCAACCTTGTTTGCTGTAGTGTGATATGATTCCTTCATTTTCAGCCCTGCTTTGACACGTCTCTGGAACTTGAACCCCGATAATCTGGCTGGATGTCGTTCCCAGGACCGGAAATTTGTTCCATCCATGGAGGACTACTTTGCTGAAGCCATTGAGCAACTTAATCCTAAGGCACAGATTGAACCTCAGTATAAGTGAGTTCCTCAATTATGACAGTGCTCTAGCTCAATAAGGAGAAAAGTGAGTGGAGGAATTAGTAGGCCCTTTTTTCACAAAGGAAGGTGAACAATGCAGACTTTCAGTGGCGAGCCCTTCGTCTTCTTGCTGCCCAGAGTCCACACTTCTTCATGCAGAATCAACTGATCTTCCCCAGCAAAGAGTTTCTTGAAATGACTCTCCAGAAGGTGGCCAAAGAACTTCCTGTAAGTCTCCATCATCTTGTTTATACTCTTAGGCTTAGATGGGCTTATTGACTTGGATTGTTCGATTTGGCAGCGCTTCCAACATCAAGAAGATGATGATGATGAAGAGGAAGAGGAGCAAGAGATGGAGGAAGAGGATACAGAGGATGCTAAGAAGTTGAAACCAGAGGAAGAGAAGACAGTGGAAGGGGGGAATCCTTCTCGGGTCACTTTGGTTGATGATGGAATCATAGGGAAATTGGCTCCTGTCCTTGGCAACAACTGGAAGGTGCTGGCCAAAAAACTTGGCATGAAGGATGATGAGGTGAGACATTATGTAGTGATTCCAGATTGCCTTTTTAACACAGAATCTTTGACTTGATCAGATGATGTGTGCTGAATGGTTTTGGTGCGAATATATATGGGAATTTTCAATCCATGTTGAGATAGTGTCTTATATGCATTGTGGTTTCAAGAATCCAATATTATCTATAAGTAAAAAATTGGAAGAAATCTTAGAGAGTTAGACATTTTTGTGGAGATAAGTGAAGGACAATAATGAAGAAAGATCACAAATTAACAAGATACTGAGACTTTAATGACAGTAGGACTCTAATAAGGAAGTTGACCAGACTGCAATGAACAATGACTGACTGACAAGAAAGAACGTTTAAAGTGGAGTGGAGAAAGGAAGGTGCTGTAGGTAGAAAATGACAGCTAAATGGAGATATAATTGCAGATTCTGTGCCTAGGGAGATGGAGGTATGTCACACTGATGATTGGTTCTAAGAAGGAATCCATCAAGGAGTGGTTAAAAGGATGACTGATTTTTTGAACCGATAACAGAGTAGAAACTTGCTTCACTTTACAATTCTGAGAAATTATTTTCAAAGTAAACAAATGAGCTAGAAAGGTTCAGAAGATCAAGAAGGTTCAAGCCCTACCCATGTGTGCATTTTTGTAAATTTCTGGATTTAGTAGTGACCCCACCCATGTCATATCTGGTTGAGTTAGAGACTTGGTAAAATCACAGTACATTTTACATTTTGTTGCTACTTTTTTGGAATTAGAGTTTTTCTGTGGAATTTGTTTTTAGGCTTATTCAGGGAAGCAGGATATGATTGCCACTATATATATTAAGTAAAATTTCACTGTAAAACATGTTCTTCTTGATGGCAGATTGAGTATTTTGAGAACCAGAAGCCTGATTCAGCAACAGAGCAGGCAGAGGCAATGCTGAAGACATGGGTGGATAGTGACCCAGAAGATGCAACTGTGGAAACCCTTTATTACTGGCTTGAGGGCCTACAGCTCTCTGATGCCCTCAAAGCTGCTTTTCCCTCCTCATCTTGACATTCTTGATGTTTATTATGTGTGCGTTGGTTATTCATTGTTGAATGAAGTGAATGTAAAAATATGAAGTACAAATATGAAATATAAGTGTTTCTCTCAAAACAAGCACCCTCAATTAGAAATGTTTCAAATGGAAGGATCACATGTATGGATGGAACTGATTACAAATTAATAAGGAAAATGCAGTACAGGGAAGGCAGGCCCCGCTTTTCTTTAGCAGCAACTCCTACTCGCAAACAGAAATTGAGTGAGCCTTTGATGGTGTCCTGTGACAGCTGCACTGGAGGGACTCCAGCATTGCCCTTCTGACGATCAGGGAATCGTCTGTAAATGCATTTAATTGCTGAAGACAGTTGGTCTTACCGAAGCTCTGCTGCCTCCATGCCTTCACGTTCGGCTTCAGAAAGTTTCTCAGATCTCGCTTACTTTGATTCCATAGAACTAACTAACCCGTAAAGTTTTTTTTCCTACGCAAAGCATTCGCGAGCAGTACGCTAAAGACAGAATGCGAAAAGTTTTCTTCGAATTTATTGCCTGCAACGCGTCTTTTTTTTTTTTTTTTTTTACTAAGTCGACGAATACCGCAAAAGCCACTTTGAGAAACCTTAGTCATAGTGAGGCGCCATCTAATTCGAATACTGTGTTATGCGCCCGATTCTTTGTCCTCTAATTTCTTGCTGCTCAGTCAAATAGAACTCGTCTCGATCGTTTTTAGCTGGTCGAGAAATCTTAGGTTCCCGATAAAAGTTTTCTTGGCGTAGTGAAAGCGTAGTGGCGAGATTCTGTTAGTATACTAAAGAAAAAGTTTTCCCTGGAATATGTTGTTTACGTAAATATCGCGAATGTTTTAAGACTGGCATTTTTTATTGGTCACCGTGACCTCGCCTCTCGACCGATACTACTTGAACCTTCTCAATCCGGGGGAATAACTTCACGCCCTCCCACTCTGCTCTCTGGGTTGGTAGCAGTGAAGGTGAGGCGAAGGCGTGTGAGGACAAGGGCATCAGCTGAGCAGGTCCCATGCTTGATCATGAATATTATAGTCCCATCCTATTCATGTGGCTGTCTATCTCACACTTTGGCCGTCCGGAGATAACTGAATAAAATTAATCCGATCACTCTGAAAATCGATATGCAAATAGATCCGAACAAGGGACAGGACAAACGTGTTTTTTGGTCAAAATCCATGCCAAAACCCACACTTTTAATCGCAAATTTTGACTGAAGTATCCACTCCGGGAAAGGCGTGAGCTACTGAGATATCGACCTCAAGACACATGCGCAGCTCTTACCTTGGATCAGGGTGTCACGCCTCCAACCAGAGCTGCCACTTCCACACCAGTAACTAACATGTTTTCGTCAGCAGATTAAAATTTTTTTTTAGTCTCAAATTGGTTTTCGCTTTATTTCGTATTCGTCATCGGGAAATTACGACGGTTTTATTTTTTATTACTGTTGCAGCGTGTTTGCCATATTTTTTTTGTTGCACTCATTCACTTTTGACCTGTGCGAACATTCCAATTTTCGTCAAAATTTTTGTTTTCGAAAACTTCATTGTTGACAACAGAGTCAGTACATGGCAACGGAGACGGTTGCAGACAGAACTCGTGCAATGCAACGTCTGCCAGAGCCGTGCGTCGTACTCCCTTCTCCCGACCTCATCCCCCTCCTGTTTTCAATAGTAATCGAGTGGAGGCCCCTCACTGGACTGAACGTGCTCGGCTTGCTACACTTGCGATTGTGCCATTGCACAGTGGGCCAGCGATGCGTAAAAATCATTTTCGTCCCGTGAAATGAAAGTCAGAGATAGTGGCCGTCATGGATTGAAAACGATTGAAGAGGTAATGGCTTATTCCATTGATACTTTTTCTCGTCACTAGATGGCGAAAATGTGAGAAAATGTCTGGGTACTTTTTGATGGTCGATATCACGTTTTAGTGAAGTCACTGAACAAGATGGCTGAAACTGCTGGTTAGTTGAAATTGGTATTATAAAATCACAAAAGTGGATATTATCATGATGATCAACTTACTGCCTTGCCACAGTTATCATACTATTATGATCCTTCCAATAATTGTAGGAAAAATATGTTAGTCCTTAGCTTGAGTAAAACCTCTCATTTTTCTATCGGAAAAATTACTAAAAGTTTAAATTATAAAGTCATTCCGCATAATTCTGTTTTCAAACTAGGATAGCGCGTAGGGCTTACTTTCCGTCGCTTGCGAGCCAGTAGAGTTTCTTGCAGGTTATTGCAGATCCTTCTGGTATAAGCGAAATTGATATACCTACTTTTCTGAGATTTTTCCATTCTGGCTCCCTCCCAAGGATCACTGCTAAATTAATACTTAAATTCTAAATCAGCAGATGATTATGAGACATAAATAAGTAGGATGGGTGTGGCACAGAGGCCTGTGAAAAGGAAGAGTCCATGCTGTTCGAATATGGCAACATTCGTGTTTTTCCGCTTACATTTTCTGTTCGAATATGAAAACATTTGGCGTGTAAAGGTTAAAATTTGCGTGGAATAGCCCGAAAATCGTTTGAATCTAGCTAAACATGATCTGAAAGCAATATTTAAAAATTTCCATTCACTATAAGATAATATCGCTGATGCCTGATTTTTGCGCATGTTTTCGCCATTCTGGCCCACTGTGCATTGTGGAGACTCGTCGCTTGAGACTCACCGTTACTCCGAGTTATACAAGACTTGAAATTTCACAAGAGCAAAAGAAGATCGTCTGGAGGCCCTATGCACGTGTACGTCTGCATGTTTCAATCCTCCCCCACTCATGAAGCTATGCTGTAACCCTCTCAAGGGTAGGAGAGGAATAGTCGAAGGGGTGTTTTGAGCTAATGCCATGATGATGTATCCAAAAAGTATTACTTTTTTCGGGTACTAGGTACTTACGGTACTACAACTATTTAGCTTACAACCACGTACATACCTTGTGGGCTTTAGGCCGGGACCAGGCATTCTTTGTCGCTTTAACTGAGGTCGTTATAACAGAGTTCGACTGAAATAATGACAATTTGCGGTTTTACCTAAAATAAAATTCTAGACCTCTCGCGATAAAATAGCGATAGCTCCTGAAAAAAAGCTATTGAAGAAAGTCTGTGCTAACACTGCAAGCTTATGTGACAAAAGCTAGTGAGTAAAAAATGTCAGCTCTTTTGGTCCAATGAATGTGCTGTAATCGCTGTCGGCGTGAGAAGAAAGACTCATGTCACTGCTGGTGCTTCGTTATCTTATTAACCCTTTCATGCCGGATAGTTCCGTTTGGAACCATCAACTTTTCGAATTTTTAAAATCCATCGTATGTATGCCTGCGGGCTATCTTCAGCATTGACTCATCAGTCCGGTTCCTGCCAGCAAGAGTAAGATGACAACAGCCTCATTTTATCAGTACGAGTCTAGTAAACGTCTCGTAAGAGCGCATTATTATCCTCTCCGTGAATCTGAGGTAAATTCCTTTTTCTAAAAATTCAGGCATGCAAGAGTTAAAATCATGACATTGGTGAGTAGAGACCCTCTCGTTCAGCAATCCCAGTTGTGTCACTTGAATCATCTCTCTACCCTTTTCATGTACATCTTCGTTATAGACCATAAGAGGTTCTTTCACGAATTCACGAAGCAAAATTCATGTCACGAAACGAGTGGAAGTTGGAAATGAACTCGAAAATCCTGATCTTATCCACCACGCAGAGGGAAAAGGGCTGGAAATGAAAGGAGACGAGTGGCGCTTCACAGCTAGTTTAATGCGTAGATTCATGATCAATTCTGGAGTATCACAATTTCTTTTTGGGAGTGTGACCCTAGGGAACACATGAAATAGACACAGACACACACGGACTCGAACACGAACATTGATATAGGACGCAATCGCGACTTCGTGCCGGTCCGAGAGTCCACCCGTCCCGTCTCCACTTATATGGATTCGGGTGCGAGCGAACGACGATAACTATGGAGACCTGCCGACGACACTATCCGGATCCGACGGCACGACCGCGACGGCCCGCGCGAAAATGGTCTTGCAAGACTTCGAAAAAAACGTGAACGTGAACGTAAATCGATGAGTATCACTCGACGTGAGTTATGGCACATGACCTTGACCTCGACTCGTTGCAGTCGGACGCGAACACGGCCCACACTCGGTGAATAAACCTACGTTACTCTCTAACGCGCAAGATGCTTCCGAGAGGCACTTGCATCAACGCATCAACCAGGAATGAACTACTCCTCGACTTGGCTCGAATGCCACACCTATTAAGTAACGATGCAACGAGTTCTCATAAGGCTGTCTATGAGAATCTTGGCTTGGAAAAGGAGAGAGAGGAGTTTTGGAAGGAGATACGAGGAACTATGGGAGGGAAAGTAGGGTCAAAAGGGTGAGAGGAATCGGGGAAAAGGGGTCGGAGAGGTGAGGGTAAAGGGGTCGGAGAGACGACTGTACACTGTGGAAGCCCTCTGCGTCTAGAAGAAGCTCACAGATCAAGTGGCTTTCCTCGATAGTACCACACGACACCGAGATTTTACCAAGGTCATACTGCGGATAGATATGCCTAATGGGGGCGAAGAAGATCGACGACACAGCACTGGTTATTATCGGAGGGGGAGTCGATCGAACGAAAAATCACAGACGTGGAGACACTACGATCGCATGTCGTCCTATCACAGCCTCGTATAGATGCTCAACGGGAGGAATAACAATTGCTTATTTTCACATGTTGTCACGGAAGGGATTGAAAGGACGCTGAGGGAATTCTTGCTGATAGCTTGCCCCTCCTTGGTAGTATTCTTCGCGTTGATATTGTCCTTGGTAAGGCTGATCACGCGCTCCTACATTCGGGGGCGGAGCCTGCAAAAAAAAATAAGTCAATGGTTCAGTTCTATCTATTTCATTTTCACCTACTGAGCCGGAATGACGGTTACTTCCCGCCATTGAATTAAGCTTCTCGTATGGTTTCGTCATGCCTTCCTTGCTAAGAACTGAGGCAAAATGAAAAACCTTTTTTTTTATTTGCATGAAAATAAAGCGTTTCTTGTCGAAGTGAAATACGGGAAATACGATGATGACAATGACAATACATGAGGAGTGGGAGGAATTCTTTTCACTTTTTTACCTGTATCCAGGTAAATAATTCTCCCAGGCGTGAAATAATCGCTGTTACCAACATATGCAATGTGAGACGTGTCCGCTTTCAATTGTTGTTTATCGTTTGGAGGAAGTGCTGAGTGACTCTGTGCTAGGGAAACCCACTGCTTACATATCAATTGGACACTTCAGAAAAAAATATTCTTGAAGTTAAAAAGATGCCAAAAAGTTCTAAGCGCATGGAATGTGATTTTCTGAACGCGTTCCGGAAATGGAAGCTGCTCTCCGCTTCTCAAATGTTCAGCCTACTAGCAAGAAGTGCCTATTTTTAAAGCTGACTTCCAAGCAACAAACGGTATCCTCCAGCTAGTCGTACTTGAACAAAAAGTTTTTTTACGAGTCGCTTTTCGACGCGCTGTCCCTAAAGCAGCGTCTTAATGAAGCTAAGACGGAGAAGCAGCGACTTGTCCCACTTTTCATATCATGATAGCAAAGGGATGACCAAAATGCGTGACAAAAGTGCTAACTCTGAGCAGTGAATGGAATATGATATGCCCGATACGTGAACTATATGTGAACATTCTAAAGTAACTGTGAATGTCCGTCCTGATTGCAAAGACCCTGTTAAACTTGGTAAGTACTCTCTAGCACTCGCTACGAGTTTTGAAAGATTTCAAACTTGAGGCGAGTACTCGTTAAAAACAACTAATCAAACGGCTAGCTCAAGGCAAGATGGTGTCCCACTTCTCCCATGACAGAAGCTGAAAAGGTCAACGCGAAGCATCTCGTACGAGTTTGGGATGCGTCCATGCTAGTCGGTCAACGCCGGAGTCGCTCCTGTCTTCATAGTGAAGTATGGTATTATCAGGAAGAGAAGGAGGCGTAGTAGACGGGTTTGGACGATGCCCTGGCTCTTCAAAAGATCTACCTGTATTATGGGGCGCACAATTATTTACTATCAGACCTAAGAGTCTAGCCCCAATCACGTCGCTGGCTTTCTTCGAATGAACGAAGCAACCTCCAGAGACTCTTAGGGAAGGTTAAGTAACGGCCTCTTTCTATAACTATTTATCAAGGCCTCCGAAGCGTCATTTGACGGTTGGCGTGCCATCATGTTGTCGATTAGATCCACCGCGACTGATGAGAACTTCTACTTTCAACAGGCAGCCATCATCTCTGCATGTTTCGTATTTATCGACATCTGTTCATGGGTGTTCAAAAAAGTAAATGGCTAACAATTTAAAGCGAATAAATGATAAGCCCTCGCTCGCGATTACTCCTTTAATGTAACACTACACTCGCTCACTCGCTAACGAGTATTCGCCAAGTGGAACAGGGCCTTCACGGGAAAGCATCGAGATGTTTTGTATTTTTTTGAAAAGTATTTTGATTGGACTCTCATGTGAGGATTATCCTCGCAAGATAACAGACGGGCACGTATTCCTCTTTCTAAACATAACTTTCTCCAATTCCGCGAAAACATCGGGTTGCGGGGTTGACCTGTACCACGTGGGCATACCTGAAACATTTCTTGCTGATTGAAGGGGTTAGTGACTTCGCTAACCCCTTCCACGGCTCCATACGATGTCAGGCTGCCGTTTAAAAGTCCTCCTTTCCCGCTCTCACTCTCCTGGAAGACCAAAAAGCAAACACGTGGAAACGGCGTGGCGGTGAAGGAGATGGGAAAGTGTAAGGAGGCGCTGTTGGAGCGTGAAGCCTCAGCCGCCTGTCGGCTGAGGGAACTGAATTTGTGACCGCGCTGCTTACCGCGAGGGACTGTTCACGAATGACGGGTGGCATAGCGGGTTTCGGAGGTTTTAAACCCTCTGGTGGGGTCTCGTAGGGTTCGGCCCAGGGTTGAAGCTCTCCAGATGCGAAGATCCCGTAGAATGTCACCCCGACGAAATGCACCGAGGATGCGATCAAGAACACCGAGACCCATTCTTCCTTTTTCTGTCGGATGATACCAGTAGGTCATCGTGTTCTCGACCCCGACGATCTCGAGAGAACACACGAATGAATGTACCTTGTGAGACGTGAGATGTTCGACCAGGACCGGGCATATAATTCCCGACAGCGTTCCGATTCCGTTTGACATCCCCATCAAGATGCTCGCGTACCTCGGCGCAATGTCCAGGTGATTCACGTTAAATCCTGCAGAAGACGAGTTCGAATAATAGAAAATAGAAATTGTTCATTCCTCGAGTGAGGAATGCAGACGGACCAGAGATGGCGAATCCGGAGAAGCCGACGGCGAGGGTGAGGGCAAAGATGGCAGTAGTGGGATCCGTGGAATAAGCCACGACGAGGAGAAAGACGGCTTCCATTCCGAACCCGCCGCAGTTGAAGATCTTCCGGACGTTCGTCGTCGAAAGGATTCTTCTCTCTCTGAGAAAATCGGCAAATCTTCCCCCGAAGGGAACGATGACGGTCATGACCAAGTGCGGCACTGCCGCCAGTGTCCCGATCTTATGAAAAAAGAACACCTCTCTTTTTAGAAACCCGTCCTTGTCAAAAATGCACATCCTCGTACATACTGTACGTCGTCCGTACGCTCAAGAGAAGAGAGGAATCTCGTGCGAAATTTTTTTTTTTTTCATTTTTGTGAGAGGTATGAACCTAAGGAAGTTCTTTTAAAACCGAAAACCATTTTATCTTAAGCTCGACGTCTGTCTGTTCTTCGAGCAGGATATACTCGACGAGATGAGTTCTTTTCGCGTCCTCACCTTGCCGAGGTCGAAGTCGAAACATTGCTTGAAGTATTCCCCTTGATGAAGGAGAAGGAGATAAAAGGTCCAAGATCGGCAGAAGTTGGCCACGATGATGGCGTAAACCGGCATGGACGTCAGCAATGCCCTCCATGGCATGTTCTTTATTGTCGGCATCGGTCCCTATAAAAAAAAGTTCCCTTTTAACATTCTCTGGTACGTACAATACGATTCTTCCTTTTCCTGTATTTCTCGCATGAGAACTCACAGTGGAGAATATGCTTATTGGTTTATTGTTCGCCGTGTCGAGGCATGTAGGTGCTGCTTCTTTATTGCATTGAATATACTGTATGACTGACAAATATGAACAAAAACATAAATTTACGAAGGTCGACGACTTTTAGGCATTTGTCTAAAATTTCTACCACTCCCCAATTTTTTTGAAGCGTAAAGCAAAGACAAAAGACAGATATTGGGGACCACGGGGTGAGAGCGGAGAGAAGGCGCTGCCATAGAAACCGGCACAGGAAATTTGCGGTAAGCCACTGCAGGTTTTTCCAGTTAATTATTACTTGGATTATAGCATCAAATGCTATAATTCCAAGGACAAGTGGTTTCCTACATTCGGAGAAGAGGAATCCCATAAAAAGGCTTAAGCTCACATGCCTACCTCGACTTAGTTCAAATGAAGAGGAGGAGAAGCACCTGCTCCCTATAGGGATATATTCGCATTCGTATAAACGGTGACCTGGAAAGAAAAAATGCTTGGTGGAACTAGCAGAAGGGGCATTTGATGGCAATTTGCCAAACCTCCATGAAGTGCGGTGTGCAACGTGACGTGTATTGCAACATAAAGTGCAACATGATTTTCTCATTTCCCCTCTCTAATGGCGCCATAAACTTTCCTCAAGATCTCTCGAGAGATGAACAATTCATGACCGAAGTTGTTTGATTTTTTTTACACCTTAGGCATTCGAGTCACGAATAGTCCGGCGTGCCTATTTTTATCAGTTTCTATGAAATTATTGAGATTTTGGGAACCCAATTGAGCAGCATTCCCAACTTTTCGGCAAACTTTCGAATCTTGCTTATTTAGGCTACGCAAGTAAGGTTGTCAGTCGTAAAAAGAAATACTGGTGAAAACCACCACCATGTGAGACAAAACCGAAACATCTATATCTTGCTCCCTGAACTCGAGGCGATCCAAGCCAAAATCCTACATCGATTCGAGAATGGATCGCGACCCATAGGTCGGGTACGCCTGTCCTAGACGAGAACACCCAGGCATGCACTAGGACATCAAAGTGTGATGGAGGGGGAAATGGAGGAACCTACCTGAAAGGAAGTCACTCCGAGGCTTTCCTCGATATAGAGCATTTCCGCCGTGCTGATGGTCGGGTGACAAGAAGGCTTCTCGAAAGCCAACCACAGCCAAAACATATACCATATCATCCCCAGGACCCCTGCCACAGGAGACATAAGGTATTAAAAACATTTCTTTTTAACAATTTTTTTTTCCTTGCAGTTCAAAATAAAGATAAAAACTGAAGCTTCAGCAGGCCTCTTTCTTAAACAAAGCTTCTTTAGTTAGCCACCTTTGAGAAATAAGTTTAGCTTCTTATAGCGTGTCTCCTTTCTCTGTAAAATGAAGCTGATTGTAGCGGGCCTCCTTTCTTGGAGTAGTACTATATTGATATGATATGTTTCATTTCTGTGAAAAAAGTTACGAGGCATCCCAGTGTGTCAGTCAAAACCAAGTTTCCTTCAATATTTTCAGGAATATCATTGCTCTAAAACAGGGGTGTCAAACATACGGCCCGCAGAGGTGGTTCATCCGGTCCGCAGTCTGCTTTTGAAATTTTCCGCATGGATTGAGTGTCAGCACAAATTTCAGGGAAATTTTATGGGTGCGGCCCGCAGGCATCTGCAGGGTAAGGAATGCGGCCCACCGACCGATTTGAGTTTGACACCCCTGCTCTAAAACTTCACATGTTAGGTACTACTCACGAAGGTGACAACTTGACATCGATTCGTCTTTGAAACCTTCCACACACAGTAATTATAAACTGTTAATAAAAGAAAGTAAAATTCGAGAAGTGCATTTAGCATGACACCGAAGCGGATGGTCGCGTTCTTCCTCCCCTTGCCACCTCCGCAAACTTATTTAGGGATGCTCTACTATGCGTCTATCTCCCCTTCATTCTTCACATTCCGCAGGCTTCGTCGCTATCTGCGAGCGTAGACCTAGAGGAGGCTTGCCCCTGGACTGGGCTTGGCCCTGGTTGTCCTGCTTTTCCATTTCTGTCTCTTTCTCTTTCCCTGCCCAGACGAATTGAAGGGAGAGAGGATATTGTTATACGGAGTGACAATGGAGAAGGTATTGGAAGCGGAAGTGATCGAGCGGAGGCAGTCCATTAAGATGGCAAGATCCGATAGCAGAGGAGGGAAGGAAGTAAGGAAGGAAGGAACGTTTCGACAGTCTTTTGTTTGCCATTCACACTCGCTTTCAATATGCAAATTCTCCATTCATATTCATCGACCCCGTTCACTGTGGTGTCAATCGCAGGCAAGCCACGCATCCGAGGCTCTTCTTTTAATTTCCTGCCTGCCTTTCCTCCTTCCAATCTTCTCAGAAAGCATACCCAACCCCGTTATTAAAAAAAAGAAAAGGCCATTCACCATAGGTGTAGAAGGAGGACTGCCATCCGAGAGCTTTGGTGAGCCAGCCGGAAAGGAACATGCCAACCACTGCTCCTCCATACGATCCGCAGAAAGCCAGTGTTGCTAGCCGACTCCTCTCCAACGGTGGTGCCCAGTACCTCCAAATCCCATGGCACGCCGGGTACGTCACTCCCTGTTTGATTTATTTCGCATTAAAAAAAAATGTCAAAATGCAACATTCAATCAGCTACAACTATACCGAAAATGATATAGAATATTTTAGCACTTGGATCGTTTGCTGCCATTATGAACCCAAGTAATGCGTTATCAGATACCAGCTACAACACCTTCATTGCTCACCTTTCCAGAGTTTTCCTGTTTCCTTACCGTTTCTGTACCTCTATTTCATTATTTCCACATTTTATTTAATTTGAGAGAATTCTACTGCAAAGCTGCAATATTTTTTAAGCCACTCATCGCTGATATATACAGAACGAGACCGAGAGATGCTTCTGCAAGATCTCTCTAAGACTGCGGATAAAGAAAGAACATGTGGCCCGCAGGGGGGAAGTTCATGCGAACGGACCTCGACGAGGCCTTGGAAGACCTTGACGATGAAGACGGCAGTGGGGTGGATCTCAGCCGCGGCCGGGAAGAGGAGATTCAACAAGGCCGAACTCGCCACCGCCAGACCGAACAGCCTTCATCCCGGGAAGAGAGAAAGACACAACTTTTCGTTTACGCGTCATCCATCTCCTTCCACGTCTTCTGCAAGGGACGCTCATCCTCGACCATCGACAGATTTTTTCCTTCCCTTTCATTACCCTTTTTATAGACCCTTATGACTCTTTCATCAAGGGCCGTTCCCCTCCGCTTATTGTTCCGTCTCTCGGCTTCCCACTTCATCTTCCCTTAGTTTAAAAGACGGAGAAATTCCCCAGTCAATGCAGGAATCATGTGAACTCACTTGTTAGCGGGGAATTTAGAAGCGAGGAATCCGCCTGGGATTTGGGTGATGAGATAACCATAGAAGAAGGCACTGTCCACCAATGCCCTCGTGTCGGCTGACCAGTCAAATTCCGGCTTCTGCCATGCCAAAAAGTCAAGCGACATTGCCTTAATAACACTTAACTTTTCTTAGATTAATTCCTCCATTTACTGGAATAAACCAATAAGTCTTGCAATAATTATGTAATTGTGAACAAAATACAAGAGCAAGATGATGGAGTACAAAAACGTGCATCAGATGTGCGTTTGTGAAGAGACGAGAGTAAGAAAGAGAATTACCCCGGAGTCGGTTACATTGGAGGTCATTTGAACGATGGCCATGCCGAGGTTGGTGCGGATGCCGAAAGTGACCATGAATCCGAAGCTGGCAAGAACGGCCATCGTATATCTCTTGGAGAGGTTGCAACAGGGACAATTCGGTTGAACGTATTTGTCGATCTTCCTCAGTGGTGGCCTTTCCCTGTCCGGAATGGATCCCGTCGGGGATTCCTCTCCTTTTCCTCCTCCACCTCCACCCCCAGCCCTTCATCGATCAATGCCATCCATCATTCATCATTCATCAACCCATTCATCATCCTCAAACATTCCTAGCACTCTCTTACTGAGGGGCTTGGTATTGCGGGTGTTTATCGCTGGACGGAAGCTCGAATTCCTCGTATGGGACATTCCTCCTGAAGAAGAGGAGATACGGATGAAGATGAATCTCGTGGAAGATGATCCTATTCATGAAGAAGTATTATTGGGTCTCCCGCAGAGAGGACTTACTTCTTAAACGTCGCCGACGCCTTTTCCCTGATCGCTTGAAAGATCTCTCTCCCCGCCATGATTCTCTTCGCCTGTATTACAGTATTCATCTTCTTCATTTCACAGAATCCCTGCTCAATAGCCTCCCCCCCCCCCCCCCCCAAATAAGCCTCAGGGCATGCATGAAAAAAAAGTCGGGTGTGAAATAGATGGAATTTTGTGGTTCAGTGGAATGGGGAAAAACTCACCGATAAAAGTATGCTTCCATGGATTGGATGATAACACGGCTGCACCATTTTGCACAACTAGGAGCGGTCGTTTTCCCCTTTCGTATCGCATGGTCCTGCTCCTCTCCCATGAGCTCCTACCCCCCCCCCCCCCTCCCCCCCCCCCCCCCCCCCCCCCCCACCTCGCCCTTCTTGGGCTCGTCATCTTTCTCGGCCGAGTTAATAATGCGTCCCTCGCATGAGACGCCGAGTGGGTACGTATCGAGAGGAGTGGATGAGAAACCTCACGTTTTCCGTTGAGGATAGGACGAAGTTCGGCATTTCCTGTTTCCCGCTCGACCCCAATCTGAGGCGGAGCTGCCTGAACGCAGGTTTCAAATTATTGTCTACCTCTGTTATACACCAGGTCATTCGCTTCGCGCCACAGAACAGCCCACATGAGAACAGAGTCAAAGGGGCTGTGCTAAGTTTTCAGTTTTGTGTTCGATTCCCGCGTGTGCCACGACTGTGTCCTACCTTTTTGTGCGCGGAAATCCCCTCTCGTATGGTTTTCTGAACTGTGAAATCAGTGTCAAACGTTGAGTCAAGGGATAAATCGTTTTGACGTTTTCAGTTAAGCTTCAAGGCTTTATGTAAGAGGCTGATTCTTTGGAATATGTTTTTATGCATTTCGAAGCAATGCATGGATTAAGACAAATCTCGTTTGATGCTGGGCTTCTGCCTCGTAATTTGCCTCGCATCCATCGAAGACACGTTCCACCCTTGCACCGAATTGAACTCAGATTATTGAGAGAAATCACCGATACGAAAGGGCAGGAAACCCTACGATATGAGAAATTTAAAAAAGGCTGACAATTTTAGTACATTGTTTATGGAAAATGCTAACTGGGGAAAGCCAAAGCCACTCTTTTTCCTGAAAATAACGAAAAGAGGGGCACTCCCCCATAAGTTCCGAGTAAGACGTGTTGTTTGCCATTTTTTAAGTGCTGAGCTACGGGGCTTTGAAGCTGGGAAGGGAGCACCGTGAGTCATTTTTTAAATTTAGATTAGATTTTTATCAATTACCAACAGCAAGGTCTGCTTGAACCCTATCCAAAGGAAAATATTGTGCAATTTTTGCGAATGAAAAGAAAAATCCTTTCAGCGATTAAACAGTAAAAGAGAGAATCGAAAGAAAGAGAGAGATGAGATTTTTTTCATTTGAATGTGCATTTTCGTTCCATGGACAAAATTTATATTCAAAGCCTATATCCTGCATTTTTTTTTTACGAAGAACGGTTTGCCCTGGACAACGAGGTTTTATACTACATCAAATAATTTCGAATTCTGATGCAGTTGAAAGAGTTGAAAGGCTGAAAAAATCCACGAAAGGAACGTGGCGAGAGTAAAGTGGGTGTCTCAACATCCTGCTGAGGCGAAGAAGTGGCCAGCAGGATATAAGGGTTTTATTTCAGGTGCTAAAACTTAATCAGCTCTTGTAGTTTACATCGCAAAGCACGGGGGAAATTGCTGTAACTAAATTTCTCCTTCCTTCATAAGTGGAGAGAAGGGAGAGAATGGAGAGGATGTGCCCATGGATGGAGAGGGAGCTGGCTCTCTCCGGGGGTCTTTCCCATCCCATGGGTTCAGAATGCTCTCCAGGACCCAGCCTTATCTTAGGACTGTCAGGCCGATGCGAGTCGCTCCCTGTTATGATTCCAAGGGAATCCTCTTCGATACGAGGGAACGACTCAAACACCTGCGCGAAATTAGCCGCGATTGAACGCACCACCGACCGTGACAAAGATTCTGTTTCACGTATCAGAAGAAGACGATCAAGTCGTAGGCGTGCAAGAAGCCCAAGCACCACTGTCGGAGGGGAGAGGATGCAGCTCGAGTGTTCATCACGAGGAGGGAGCGGTGATATTCATGACTTGATTGCACCGGGCCCTTCGTACTAAGCTGTCGCATTTCATTCAATTCTTCACACTAAAACTTCATTATCACATCCAAGAATGTCAGGCTTCGATGAATAAGAATCGAGGTGGAAAAGCCCCTTTTCCGGCGTTGTCACGGGGGGAAACGCATGCGATCAGCTTTCGCGCAGTCAACCTAGATAGAACCATCCTAAAATTGCGCGAATTTTAACTTATTTATCCCATCCTGTTCGCTCATATCGACGTACTTCTTTCTTACAATTTTCACTTTAATCTGAGCCAAATTAAGTGCTACACGAGTCGAAATCTAAAGTGAAAAGGGCACATCGAGTGACTCACTTTAGGAGTGATGAGCGCATACAAGTCTATATTGCAGGATGCACCGGGTCTCACCGCGCCGAGAGCGAGGGTGGAAGTGGCGAGGACTTATATGAGAGCGGTGGATGGTGATTCCATCAAGGATTCATGTTATCGTGCGGTCCATTTTCAAATCTCAATCGATGACAGAGTGGAGACCGAGATTCCATTCTACATTTTTTTGACACTCGATGCTTCGGCTGGGACCCTCGCGTGGGTCCTTTCGATAGGGGACAGGCTTCCCTCACGACTCGATCGGGTGGAGCCGGTCTGCTTCACACTAATGGGCTTCGATTCCAACCGTGGGCGTTTCCACTCGAGTCGAGTCTCTCCGTTCGTTCCCTTTCTGTCTTGCCTCAGCAGGTAAAACGGGATTTTGTAAAATCGCTGAACTCGCAAGAAAAACTCTTCTTCTTTTGATTGAAGTTTTATTTTTTTTAAAGAGAAAGTTACTACCCTTCTTGAATCGGTCCCTTTCTTGAGAAATAAACAGTGAAAGATCGAAACAAAATTAGTCTTAATTATTCATATCGCGGGAAAGCAGCGTTGAGAAGATTCTGCGCGAAAATGAATCTATAAAGAAAATCAATCCAAGACAAGAAAGGGAATACAGTGCGCTGCGGATTCAATTATAGTAATCGATCCATTAATATATTAAAGTGTCGCGAGCAAACACATAATCGCAATTTATAGTATAAATAGCTCCAAGACCCCCCTGCAACGGATCCTACCTTGGCTTGATGCAATTTTCACTCCCTGTCAACACTTGTGAGGAGCTCGAAAAACTAACACAAATATATTTTGCCAAGAACGGATAACATGAGGTATCGACGGTGAACCATCACGCTATTTCATTCTAAAAGTAACTCGATGACAGTGCGCCATATAACGTTTCCTTCACCACATTTTGAAATTGTATGTTCACTTTAACAGGTTCAGGAACGGAATTTTTGGCCGAATAAAATTCGATTAATCGGTAGCAGTTTGCAATTAATAGGAATTAAGATTTCTTATCAATCTTCGACCATAATGTATTTGTACCTCTACAACTTTTGTTTTGACCTAGCTTTAGCTTTATATCTCGAATTAGAACGTCTTAACGATGTTGTTGGTAAAGAAAACAGGTTAATTAAATGCTGCAGCGTTCCCTGCGTATTTGCCGATACAGCAGCTTAAAATTTTCCCGATGTCCAAGAAAATAGGAGCATCGGGAATGAATTAGAAAGAAATCTAAGAGACGAAGGAGAAGAATGTCACGAAAAATCTCGGCAGTCCTCGAAAGCGTCTATTATTAGAAATGCCCCGAAGAAAGAAATAAAGAATGAACTGTTGAATGAGGTCTGAATGACCTCATATTGAGTGAGTAAGGTCGACGATGGCGGGAGAGCATTAGAGATGAAGCTGCAGAGAGAGAGAGAGAAGGATAAATCCGGGGAAAGAGAGGGGAGATTTTTGGGATCGGGGGGTGGCGACAGAAAGCCGCCCATGAATAAGATCGATCCCTCTGAATGCTCATCCTCGTAATGGTCTGGAGACTCGAATCTTTCTTGTTCCTTGGAACCTCGCCAAAAATACACCCCTCCTCTCATATACTGCATGTATACTCACCCCCGCACATAAAAACTGGGACGAGGACTGAAAAAGAGGAGGTTCATCGTGGAAAGTTTCAGCCAGAAACCCATGAATCCAGCCAGGTGTTGGCTTAATCTGGTGGCTCACGGAGTGTTCTCATTTCATCTCTAACCAGACCAAAATTTTGAAATGTGGGACTATGTGTGGGATTTGTTTCGGTAGAGCACCACTGCATCAAGTTTGAGCTGCATTGCACATTACATTACTCATGGAATCGAAAATGCTCGCCACCGAAGCTCGTTGGCTAATGAAAATTAAGAAGAGCTCGTGACGAAGCACGACACAGGGGTTGCGCTACTGGTTTTGAACTGAGATTTCAGGCAGCTTATTGACGCGCAACTCGACTTCTCGGGATCATCGACAGGAGGGGCAATAATCCCATGAAGGCGATATCGAGTAACGAAGTGTAATGTGTATATAACGAGATGAAGGGAGGGCGGCATAACAGGATTCCCTCGTCTCTGGCGCGAAGCCGAGCCGAGGAAGACTAGGACCGAGATGTGTTTCCAGACGGCTGACCCTTTTCTGTCTCTTCCCTTCCCTTTTCCCCCCCACACACAGAAGAGTATGCTGACATCTCCACTAATGCCATCCCCCCACGCTCACACCACTTCCGCCCCCTCCCCCATGCAAGAATCCCGTTGTAAATGGCGGGGAGACAGGGACAGGGATAAGAACAAGAGCAAACTCCCCTATCGAATCTTCTATCTGACTCCGGCAGATTAAGGCTCGCGCGATATAGGTCCCCTGGTGGTTGTAATTTAGGTTCCCCCGGTTCAAAGGTTTTCCATCACTGTTACGACGAGATCTTTCACTTAGCGGTATTAAAGAGTGTGTTCCACTGCGATTCTAATATAACATTATAATGCGGGCATATATCTTCACTTTGAAGAGGGCTCGCGACACGAGAGATACACATTCTTGCATAGAGGAGGGAACTTTTTTGCGAGATGTCTCTTCTCTTCGCTCAGAAGGCTCATTTTCAAAAGTGATTCGGGACACTTAA